GTACCCAAAGCATCATTAGCAAGTACTAGCAATGTTGAGGAGTCAAATCCTAAAAGCGAGGAGGAAATCACTCACCCGCCAGAAGACAGAACAGCAATGCTCTCCAGAATTGGGAATGTGTCTATTAAAAATACTGCTATTCCTATGCCTGATAAGGACACCGCAGTGCCATCAACAGTACTCACTGCATTAATAGCCACTTCAGGCTATCCGGAGGAGTCAAATCTAAAGAGCGAGGAGGTGACCACCAACTCGCTGGAAGACAGTTTAATGGATGACCATGATTGAGGTTATCCAAATAAACCTCCATCGGAGCGAGACAGCTACCAACGCTCTGATGGCTAAAATCAACACAGGTAAAATACATATAGCTTTAATCCAGGAACCTTGGACGATTCGCAACAAGGTTTCTGGATTAAATCACGTAAATTTCCAACTTTTCTACGCTGATACAGGATCTCGCCCGAGAACATGTATCTTATGTCACAAGAACTTATGTTTTCTCCTCTCAACAGGATTATCAACATCGGATGCAACGGTGCTGAAGCAAGGTCGTGGCAACATATTCCTTGCATCTATTTACCTGCCTTTCGATTCTCCGACACTACCACCAACGTCGGATCTGATGAAACTGGTTGAAGAGGCACAAAGGAAAAATAAGAAAATTGTAATAGGTTGTGATGCCAACTCGCACCATGTAGCTTGGGGTAGTACAAACACCAATCGCAGGGGACAAGCCCTCATGGATTTCTTTAACACTAAAGACTTGATAACATTGAACTTAGGTAATAAAGCTACCTTCGTCAATAGAATCAGAGAAGAAGTATTAGATATAACTATATGCTCAGAAGAGCTTATAAACGAAATTCAGGATTGGAGAGTTTCGGACGAGCACTCCTTTTCTGATCATCGGTACATAAGATTCAAAATACTAAGGCCACCACCAAAGCCGATAAAGTTTCGGAATAAGTCTAAAACTAATTGGACAATGTTCGGGACCTTACTAAAGAACCGTTTAGGTCAGGACACTTTTCAATGTCGAAATAAAGAGGATATAGATGCCAAAGTGGAAACGTTCACAAGTGCCCTGGTTGAATCGTTCGAGGACAGCTGCCCTCTGCGAGAGCGGAGATCTGCCCAGGAAAAACCCTGGGTAACTGGGGAGATCCGGAACCTTGGGAAGACTCTTCGCAAACTATTTAACCGGGCACGGCGTAAAAAGACCGCAGTATACTGGGATGAGTATCGTAATAAACTTGGTGAATATAAGAAAATCGTTCGAAAAGCCAAACGAGACTCCTGGAAACTTTTCTGTGAACAGGTAGATAGCGTAAATGATGTATCGAAGATAAAAAAATTCCTATCCAAAACTCATGTCCAACCGGAATCTATGATCGATAACACGGGCAGGAGGCTTGAGGATATGGAGGAGACAATGAAACTCCTAATGGATTCTCATTTCCCACCCGGTATATCGAATAACATAGATGAACCGATATTGGAGGAAGGGGAGGGTAACACGGAAATAGTTATTACAACTGACATGGTTAAAGGGGCAATCAAGAGCTTTGCTCCCTATAAAGCTGCAGGGCCGGATGGAATTTTCCCGGCACTTTTGCAGATGGAGGCGGGACTGGTTTCCGTACATCTGTCACAGATATTCACTGCATGCTTAAAATTGGCATATACCCCAGTTAAATGGCAGGATGCAAGGGTAATATTTATACCCAAACCAGGGAAACCTAGCTATTCGACACCTAAGTCCTATCGACCGATAAGTCTTACGTCCTTCCTACTTAAAACCTTGGAACGGATAGTCGATAGCATGGTTAAAAGCAGCATACCATACAATGACCTTAAATATAAGCAGCATGCTTATGTAAAGGGACGATCGGTGGAAACCGCTTTAAATGAAGTTGTCCACTACATAGGTGAATCTTTCGATAGCAAACTGTATACACTGGCAGTATGCATTGACATCGAAGGCGCTTTCAATAACGTGCACACTGATACCCTTATCCAATCCCTAGACCAGTTTTATGTTGACCGGGTGCTCCGTAACTGGATCAACTACATGCTAAGGAACAGATGGATAAGCTGCGAGATGTACGATATAACTATCAGGAAAAAGGTATTTCGCGGTATACCACAGGGTGGCATTTTGTCACCTTTACTCTGGGTTACCACGATTAATAGCCTCCTAAGGACCCTAACCGAGAAAGGACTTAGACCTGTCTGCTATGCAGACGATGTCGTAATACTTTTAAAGGGAAAGGATCCAAATTACTTGTGTAGAAGAGCTGAGGAGGCTCTGAATACGGCCTTGAGCTGGGCTCAACCGAGAGGCCTCAATGTTAACCCGGCGAAGACGGAAATCTGTCTTTTCACAAGAAAGACAAAAATTTCTACATATACTGAACCTTGCTTCTTGGGCAAGAAGATACCGGTGACAGACAAAGTTAAGTACTTAGGTGTAATACTTGACCGGAAATTAAAATGGAGACACCACATAGAGGATAGGATCAACAAGGCACATCGGTGCTGGGCGATATGTAGGAGAACCATAGGCATGAAATGGGGTCTTAGTCCTACTATGACAAATTGGCTTTATAAAAGTGTAATTAGACCAATTCTAGCTTATGCTTCAATAATCTGGTGGACTGCTTTGGACAAAAAGTGTAATATCAAACTACTACAGGGAGTTCAGCGTACATGCTGCTTGGGTATAAGTGGTGCCATGTGTACTACTTCAACCAAGGCTCTGGAAACGTTGCTAGATATTCCACCCATTGAAACATATATAAGATATGAGGCGGCGCTTACAGCCGAACGGCTCCTTACTTTAGGCGAACTGGCCAAAAACGGTTATAGGACACGTCATCAATGTATACTGGACACATTGGAAGGTTATACACATTCATCGGACGTGCCTGATCGCATACCAGACACTGAATATGTCGGAAACTTTGAAACGCTAATCCCAGATAGAATGTCTTGGTCAAGCGGAACATTAGAGCAAATACCAGTAGGAATACGTTGCTACACGGATGGCTCTAAATTAGGGGACAAAGTGGGTCTGGGGTTCTATATTGAAGACCCAGAAACAGAAATATACCACCGTTTACCTAATCATAACACAAGCTTCCAGGCAGAAGTACGAGCAATAACGGAATGTGTAAATTGGATTAGAATAAATATGGCGCCCACAGGGCTTAATATATTTACCGACAGCCAGAAGGCAATTTGTGCGATATCAGGTGATAGAATTAAATCTAAGACCGTATTGGATTGTAAGAAAGCTTTAACTGAATACTCTCCCAGAGGTAAGGTTCACATCATATGGGTACCAGGCCACTCGGGTGTAGTCGGCAACGAAAGGGCGAATGTAATAGCTTTAAAGAGAAGGGAGCTCGATGTAGTTAACCTGACAAACGCAAAACCACTCGACGCAACAAAAGCTGAATTAAAAATATGGAGGAGAGAATCCCATAAGGCCTCTTGGAATAATGAAACGGTGGGTAGAACCACAAAGATTCTATGGGGTGACCCTGATGAGAGCAAGACGAGAAATCTTCTCAAAATGAGCAAGTCCGAGGTTAGTATGATGGTACGTATTCTCAGTGGACACACAGGATTACGAGCACATCTATACAAAATTGGACGTGAGAATTCAGACGAATGTAGAGCATGTGGAGAGGACAGTGAAACTCTGGAGCACTTTCTTTGCCATTGTCAGGCATTCGTTGAAGTAAGATCCAAGTATATTGGAAGTGATGTTATTCCGGAAATAACATTCTTAACCAACACCGATTGGAAGATTCTGAGGAATTACGTCCAGGAAACTGAGTTTCTGAACATGGAAAAATAATACATTCAGTGAAAATTTTTTTTTTTTTTTTTTCTTGAATTGGAGCGCACAACAGGCCCGATAGTGGCCTAGGTGTATTTCTTCGGATTTGATGTAGTATACATCCTCCTATCAACCTAACCTAACCTAACATATTCCCGGAAAATTAATTTTTTTTAATAACTTCTGTCAGAATGTCGATATCTTCACAAAATTTTACAAATTAAAATCTTATGTCAATAGCATTCATTGAGAGAAAAAATTTCTGGATCGGTCCATAATTGGACATAGCTCCCATACAAGGTCCCCTCCCGAAAATCACTTAAACGCGCATAACTCATTACTAAATTAAGATATCCATATACAAGTATTGCTCATATGCACAGAAATATTACTGTGAAATTTTTTCACGATCGGTTCATCTTTGGTCATAGCTCCCATACAAGGTTCCCTCCCGAAAATCTCTTAAACGCACATAACTCATTAAAAAATATCGATATCCATACATTTAGCACAAATATTGCTCTTATATACATAAATTACACTATAAAATTGTTTTACGATCGGTCCATATTTGGTCATAGCTCTCATACTAGGTCCCCTCCAGAAAATCACTTAAATGCACAATATCCATTACCAAATATGATATAGATGTTATGCATGTTCATTTTTGACTTCACTGTGAAACTATTTCATTGATAAAATTAAATTTGATATTTCTTTCATGAATATGTTTCATAAACGCCATGGAGCATTTTCATTTCAATAGTGAAAATATTTCATTGACAAAATGAAATTATATTTTAATTTAATGAATATATTTCATAAACATCATGAAGTAATTTCGTTGCAAAAATTATCTTATTTCATTAAAATCATGTAATTGTTGCGCTAACTGAACAACTTAGTTGTATTAGTAAAATGATTATGAATGACTAATTTTCTCACATTTTATCAAACTATATCATAATATTATGATATATATTTCATTGTTTTTATGAAATTGTTTCCTATTCAAAACTATTAAATAAAAACATATTTAATTTTTTAATTTTAATAATATATTTTGATTTTATTTTATGTATTTCTGTACATAAAAAAATGAAATTTAATAATAAAATAGACAATTACATACATACATACTTACAAATAAATAAATAGAAAATATTATTAAAATATTCCAGGAAAATAATTGAATTGCTGGGGATCACATTTTGTGATCGTTGTGTAGTATCGTTGTATGATTTTAAAATCCCAATCAATCTGTAAATAAATAAATAAGTAATTAAATTAAATAATAAATAAGTAAATCAGTATACAATATTAATAAAGTTATAAAAATATTTTAAATATACAATATTTAAGAATATATGTATATTAGACCGAATCACTCTGTATGGAAAGCAAAAACGTTTTTTTGTTATCCCTCTCAAAATTTACCTTGCTTTGTTTTATGACGATTCCCAAAATATTTTAAGTCTAGCAATGACCGTTCCTGAGCTGGACCAAATAAAAAAAGATATTTTGGAATTATTTTTTTTTTAAATTTTTGTTTTGAAACAAAATATCCAATATGGGGTATCGTTTGAAAGGGGGTTTAAAGCCGCGACCAATGATGTATTAATCATAAATAACCGTCTGTTCATAATTGTCATATTCCAAAATATTTAAAATTGTTAGGTTTTTCACTAATAAAAAAAAATATGCACAATTTTTCAAATTTTGCGCACCACTAGACTTAGTTTCAAATGATACCACATATTGTATATTTTGTTTAAGAAATACTGTAAAATTAAAAAAAAAAATAATAATAACTAAAACGAGACTTTTTTCTAAACGGTTTCCATAGACCAGAATTTTGGGAACCATTATAAAACATAACAAAGATTATTTGAGGCTGGGTAAAATATTGAATTTAACATGAAAAATCGTGTCCCCCATTCGATATTTTCTTGAAAACTGTCCAGCTCACGAATGGACAACACTTAACCGAAAACATTTAGGGTAACATCAGATTACATAACAGCGAATATTTTGAGGGGGGTAACTCAAGCACCATTTTTTGTTACTCGGTCTAATGCAACGGTTCCCAAATGGGGGTCCGCGGACCCCAAGTGGTCCGTAATAAAATCCTAGGGGGTCCGCGAAGACGAACGAAAAAAACATGAATAAACAATATTCTTTTATATGTATGTACAAATATCTCCAATTTTTGTGCAATAATCCTAAATTTTTTGGTGACTTTTTATACCCACCATCAAAAAAGATGGGGGGTATATTGATTTTGTCATTCCGTTTGTAACACATCGAAATATTGGTCATAGACCCATAAAAGTATATATATTCCGGGTCCTTATTAAATTCTAAGACGATCTAGCCATGTCCGTCCGTCTGTCCGTCCGTCCGTCCGTCTGTCTGTTGAAATCACGATAGGGACCGCACGAGAGGAGCTAGACAGTTGAAATTTTGCACAAATATTTTCTATTGTTAAGGTTTGTTTGGTATTGAAAATGGGCAATATCGGTCCACTTTTTCGGATAGCCCCCATACAAGTGGACCTGTAAAAAACAGCTTTAACGGGCATAACTGCTTTAGAAGTAAAAGTATAGCGAAAAAAATCGACATAAATAAGTTTCATGTGAGCCAAAATCTTTCTACCAAATTTTTTGAGGATCGGTCCATTATTGGCCCTACCCCCCATATAAGGTCCCCTTTAGAAAATTACTTTAACTCTCATTACTGGTCCAAAAATGCGAGTATAACGATGAAATTCGGTACAAGTAAGTTTCTTACAAACCAAAATCGCTCTAAGATCGGCCCATAAATGACCCTATCCCCCATATAAGGTCCCCTTCTGAAAATTACATTAACGCTCATTACTGGCTAAAAAATACGAATATAGCAATAAAATTTTACACAATTAAGTTCCTCGCGAGCCAAAATCTTTTTAATAACTTTTATATGGATAGGTCCATAATTGGCCCTACTCGCCCTATTGGGTCCATTTCAGGAAATAGCTTAAACGCTCATTACTGTCTTAAAAATACGAGTAAAGCGATGAAATGCTACACACGTAAGTTTCTTACGAGCCAAAACCACCGTACCAATTTTTTTGGATCGGCCCATAAATGACCCTTCCCCCATATAAGGTCCCCCTCTGCAAATAACTACAATGCTCATTACTGGCTTAAAAATATGAATGTGACGAAAATTGACGCACATAAGTTTAATGCGTGCCAAAATCTCACCACCAAATTTAGGGAGGGTCCGTCCATAATTTACCCTACCGTCCATATAAGGTCCCCTTCAGAACATTACTTAGACGATCACTACAGGCTTAAAAATTTGAGTTACGGTTATGAAATTCGCTCCGAATTTCATGCGGAATGGGTCTGTAATTCACAAAAGGTTCCCTTCAGGAAAGAGTTTTGGTTAATAAAAATATAAAATACGAGTATAGCGCTGAAATTTTGCATAAACAAGTTCTATACATAATCTATGTACAAAATTTTATGAGTATCGGTTCATAATTGACGCTCACGGTTTAGGAATTGAAATAAAATATTTGTTTTTTAAAAATTAATATTTTGTTAGTTCAAAAGAGCTCGGTCCATAATTGACTTAAGCCATATTCCAAATATCACCCTATTACGGCATACGGTTTGATGGTGGGTATATGAGATTCGGCACAGCCGAATATAACACTCTTACTTGTTGAATTTTATTTTTTCGGTTGTTTATCAGGAAGAAGCTAGGCCGTACAAATTTATTGTATAACTTTTATAAAGTAAAGTATTGCGTGATTTGTAATTTTTATTTCCTGTATATGTACTGAAATAATGGTTTTTATTTCAGACAAATAATACTCTGCCTTACAATTAAATTAATTCCGGAGTATGAAGTTCAATTCAAAGACAAGCTTATTATAGATTTAAGTTTATCAAATTGTAAGCAAAAGTGTTCTTGTTTGAAAGGACTAAAATTATATATTTTCAAAACAGAGGTGACTCTTTATGCATCTCTTTATAAATATTCCAATCCGACATGATACACAGATTTTAACTTGATTTTGTCGACCAATACATATTATTAAATTAACATCAGAAAATCCATAGCGTTTCGCGTAAATATGTAGCCAAAAACCATTAAGTAAAATAATTCGTTGGTATTTTAAAATTCAAATTTAAGTTCCAAATTCACAGTACTTTAACAAAGAGTTCAAATCATATATTAAGCGGATAACGCATTCCGCAACAACATAGAAGAAGTCCAACTATCTTATATTATTTTCCCGAAAACTTAGCTCACTTACTCAGTTCACCCTTTGCAATCGCAACAAATTTTTAAAACGTGACTTCTTAAGCACATGTGACAATATTTGATATTGATATTTTCGCTACCTTGAAGAAAAATGAACATGAAAGATCTCACGATCATAAAATGAAACATCATGTTAACATATCAACAAAGAAGTCATTCTATCTTCAAAACATGCAATTGAAAACCTATCTGAAATATTATATATTCTCAATGTACGGGAATATTTTATAGATATGACATCTCTACATTTATTAGACCTAGGGATTAATGGACTAGGTCAATTTTCGAATGGACAATTATTTAGAACAATAGAATATCAAAATATGTATGGGGGTCCGCGAAATTAAATAAGTTCTTCAAGGGGTCCGCAAAGTAAAAATCGGTGGGAACCGCTGGTCTAATGTATATATATTTAAGTTCTCATATATGTACGTAAGTATATTTTTGGACTGTAGATACTTACCAATTATGAATCAATCGATCCTCTGTACTGTGGCCATTGTGTAGCAGCTTTCTTAATATTTTTGCATTCAGAATGCATTTGGTTTATATGAAATTTTACACAAGCAGACTATGTTGCCTTAAAATTTTCGACTTTTAAACTTTGTAAACAAATTCCAGCGTTGTCTTCAGGGGCTGTAGGGAAAAATGTACATGCATATATTATAAGTTATCAGTTTGTAACTTAAGTAGTATTACCGAATTTTTGGTTGGCATCCAGAACTTTACTAGAAGATGTTTGATCAGTTTGGAACATTTTCAATTTGCCTTTATTATTATGATACGCCTTTGGAAAACAATATGCAACTATTATATTCACTATAATTTTACAATTGCAGATTTTTTTAATTATTGAATTTTATTTAATTATTAATACACAATGTTTTATTAATATGTATACAAATTGTTTTTTTTTTTTTTTTTTTTAAATATGGATATCTGTTTTAACTAGAAACACATGCACTTTAATTCACTGAAGTTACAATACAAATAAAATTGGTGATTGATTTTTCTTGTCTCTCTTTGCACTTTAAATTTACAGTTATTTGTGGTCAGCAAAAATTAAAAAAAGTGGTATAACAACTATTAATATGTATGTGTGCGTCTAAAAAAACAAATATAGTGTTCAAATTTCTATAACGAAGATTGTTTCACTGCATCTATGAAAAATGTTCATTGTATGTGTGAATAATGTTCATGCTCATTTAAAACTTGTAAAAATATAAAAAATGAGAACAAGGGGTGTATAAGAATAAAGGGCAAAGAGGAAAAATTAAAAAATATACAGCGTCTCTCATAAGTATACGAATTTAATGTATTATGAAAACAGACATCATTTTATAATAGAATTTGTGGAACAAATAAATATATAAATTTATTATGTAGCCCAGACTGTCCTTAAATTTTATATCACATTTTAAAAAATGCAAAGAAAATAATTTACTTAAACTTATTTAGCTTTACAAAAAAAGTGCAAAAAATAGTTTCACAAAAGTATTCGAATTTTTTGTATACATCATATTTAGTAAGCATTATGAAGTAAAAATAAATTATTAAAATTAAATTAATATTTTGTATAGTAGCCTTTGTTTTTAAAAACAACTTCCAAGCGACGTGGGACCGTTTCTACCAATTTATGAAATAGTTCTGGCGTTATTATGTCCCATTCTTCATGCAAAGCAACCGTATGGTGGTTTTGGAGGATAATGAGTGATTTAAGTTGTTCTTGTAAATATAACCACAAATTTTCAATGGAGTTTAAGTTCAGACATTAACTCCATTGAAATTTGATGAAAGAAGATACTTAGTGTTGTAAATGATCAACATTTTTACGTACCACAAACCACAAATTTTCAATGGAGTTTAAGTCGAGACATTAACTCCATTGAAATTTGATGAAAGAAGATACTTAGTGTTGTAAATGATAAACATTTTCACGTACCAGGTCGTGTATTTTGGAACGTTTTTCTATTGAAAAAATGGGTTGTAGCCCAATTTTGGTGGTACTAGCATGCAAATTCTGCTCTAAAATTGACAAGTGGACCTTCTAGTCTATAGTTATTATAATGAATTTTAGCAGTCCAACACCGCACAGTGGGGCAGAATGGAAATTTTTTAGAAATAAATCTGGCATTTCTAAACGGCTGATCCGATCGCGATAAAATTTGGCGTGAGCGTAGCCAAGGAGTATTCGAGTTTAAGTTTTGAAGATGAACCCTGCAGATGCCCCAGGGACGGCGCTGTGGCGGCTCAAAGTAGGGTGCCTACGACATGTAAAATTTTTAAACTCGTGCCATTTTTTTGTTTTTCACCCAAATATATTTTGTGAAAGCGCTCGACGAGATCTTGAAAAAACATGCTTGGACATACTACTTATCTCTTATAATATCCGAGTTATAGGCATTTAAAAATTTAGTGATACAAAATTTACCATACCTTGGTCCGCCTTTTTTTGAATACCGGGCGTAATTTTGGACCAAATGAACTCTTGTTAGTTAGACAACAAAATTTCCAATAATATACAAAAAATTTCAGATCAATATCATTTACAGATCCAAAAATATACGTTTTTTAATTTAAAAATTCAAAAAATTTTAGATTTTTGGCGTTTTTTTTTGCCAAAAATGTGTCTTAACTCTTTTATTATTAAAATAAAATTTTCTTTAAGAACATATAACAATTTTATAGTTTTCTAAAAGGTATCTTTACGCAGAACGCTTTGGCGTAAAAAACTTGTCCTATTTTTTGAAAATGTTGCCACTGCGTCCTTCCGAATATGACCTATTTTTTATCAAAACTTCAACTTTGGGCGACATGTTCTAAAATCCCAAAGCTGAGATCAGAAAACTAAAAGCAGTTTTGGAAACCTCAATGTGTTTTCTATTTACTCCAAAAGTATTTTCCCAGCCCTGAAAGAAATGTGGACCCTATGGGCAAAAAAGTAAAAAATCCTATTTTTGGGATTTTCATTCCTATTTTTGGGAATTGCGGGATGCCCTTTGACCTTTTCAATTTTTTTTTGCATATACTTATTTGAAATGACAAATTTAACAAGCGTTGAAAATTTCATTGAGTTTTGTTCATAAATAAAGATTTTGTCATATATTACATATTTGTTTAATTTCTAAAACTATGATTTATATCAAAATTTTAATAGGGTCGCAGATAGCTACAACAATTTAGTCCATATTTATCCCTTAATATCATTTTTTAGTTAGATATGGAAATTCTCGACCCTTTACAAAAAATTTCAAGCCAATATCTCAATTACATTCAAAAATATGTAATGTCCTTTAATTTCATCTTTTTCATATTTTAGTATTAAGTATGACAGAACATATTTAAATCTTATATTTACCTATTTTCTATTTGTTTGCTTATCCTTATAATTGAAAGGTCCTATTATGCTTAAATTTTCAAAAATTTAGAACTATTTTTTACCTAAATTTTTTCGACAGATCATTTCGTTCTGTTTCGTTTATGATCATGTAGGTAAAAATATACAGGTAATGATAATTTCGATTCATTCACTAATAAGAAATATCAATGACTGAATTACAGGTTATAGTAATATAGTCCTAAATGTTAATAGGTAGACAATACGTTATTTTTTACTTTGGACTACCTGGATCGGAAATGACAAGAATTGGTATATATGTAAACTTCTCAGATTTTAAGTACCATATTTAATAAATCTGCAATGAAGATTACATTAAAGTACGAAGAGTTGTGTTCCGTTTTATGGAGTGTATCTTCAAAAGGGCCAGAAAGAATTGAAGACATTTCAAATTATATAAAAACTACATATAGTAGAAAAGTAGACAAAACAGGCATATCAAAAATTGAAAACTTTTTAAAACTTTTTGATGTAAAAAGTAAGTCTGTGGATGGAAATCAAAATAAATTTCGATTAAAATTTTGTAGTTGGATGGAAACTACTACGAAAATCTCAACTTACAACACATCAACAGGAGCGCCTTGCAAGTCATACGAAGACTTATGTTCAAGGTAAAAAAAAAGAGGGTCACACAAAAACTTTTTTCAATCTCAAATGAGGAAATTGTTGATACATTTAACGAAATGCTGAAAAAGGAAAACCAACCTATGGATGTCGTACATATTGCAACTATTCTTCCTAATGCATCACCAAAACGACTTAAGCGAATTGTGGAAAGTATACCAACTCCAACATCACAATCAAATTTTACTGAAGAGGAAGCAATAGCGCTTATGTTGGAACTGGGTCTCAGTCGAAATAAGTACCAAATATTAAGGAAAGCTCTGCATGAAAAAGGACACAATATATTACCATCATACAAGGCGACCCAGGAAAAAAAACAAACTATCCTACCATCACATATTGCTGTTAATGATGTGGAAGCTTGTATTGATATATCATCTTTGCTCGAAAACGCAGCATCAAGAATTGTGTCAGACTTTTCAGAAGACCAACTAAGGAAAATTCATAACTGTGATGTTGTCTTAATATGTAAGTGGGGATGTGACGGTTTATCAGCACTTCCAGAATACAAACAAGCTTGTGGAAGTCGGACATTAGCAGACCACAAAAGTGTATTTATGTCATCATTAGTGCCATTACGAATTCGTTCATATTCCCTTAATCCATCATCGTCAAGCATCGGAAATTCATTTGAAGATATATGGATCAATACAAATCCGGGTTCAAAAAATTTTTGTAGACCCATTGGATTTGAACATATAAAGGAGTCAAAGAAAACAACAAAAGATTTAGTGGAATATTTAAAAGATGAAATAAATGCACTGGAGCCCATTTGCATAAAAATAAAGGAATTCTCTATTAACGTATCATATCAGCTAAGCTTAACAATGATTGATGGAAAGGTCAGCAATGCCATAACAGAAACTTCTTTCTTCTGGAGATGCTCAATATGTAATGAGAAAAAGTCGCAATTCTCAAATATAAACAAAAGCAGAAGTATTAATGAAGAAGACCTGTCTTTCGGAATTTCACCACTTCATGCCAGAATACGATTTTTGGATTACTTTTTACACATACCATACGACCTCAAATATAGAAGTGTGCCAGTGTTACTAAATCAACAAAAAATAATGAAGAATTGAAAGAACTGAGAGCGCGGAAAAAAGCAGAATCCAAGAAGAATTTAAAGTTCAGATGGGATTAAACATCGACAAACCACTTTCAAGTTGCGGTAGTACAAATGACGGTAATACGGCGAGAAGGTTTTTTCGTGATTTTGAAATTACTTCAAAAATAACTGGAATCGACAAGGAGTTGCTTCGAAGAGGTAACACTATTTTAATGGCACTGAATAGTAAACATAAAATTAATGGAAATCGATTTGGGGAATACACATCTGAAATTTATAAATTACTTGTATCTCTGTATCCATGGAGGGAACTAACACCAACAGTACACAAAGTATTGTGTCATGGTCAAATAATAATTGAATCGAATATTCTTCCACTTGGAGAGTTAACAGAAGAAGCCCAGGAAGCGAGGAATCGAAAATAAGTAGTGTTACGAATTAACTATATAAGTAGGTTGTAAGAATTAATTGTATTATGTTTAAGATAAACAGTTCAAATAAAAATAGCTATTATACTAACTGATGATATTGTATTAAATTGTGTTTTATGTTTCGGTGGGCGGGAAAGGTGGTTTGTGTGGGGTGATTTAGGTGTTGTTGTGCGTGGCTCATAATAAAATTATAATTTTTTTATTGTATATACAATTTTATAGTCTTTAATAAAATAATTAACTAAATAATTTTTAAAAATTGTCCAAATATTTTATTCAACACCAAATGTATGTTCTGTCATACTTAATACTAAAATATGAAAAAGATGAAATTAAAGGACACAGGTTTAAATGAACATATTTTTGAATGTAATTGAGATATTGGCTTGAAATTTTTTGTAAAGGGTCGAGAATTTCCATATCTAACTAAAAAATGAAAGGTGGTTTGTGTGGGGTGATTTAGGTGTTGTTGTGCGTGGCTCATAATAAAATTATAATTTTTTATTGTATATACAATTTTATAGTCTTTAATAAAATAATTAACTAA